ATAAGAACATAAGAACATAAGAAATTTACAAACGAGAGGAGGCCATTCGGCCCATCAAGCTCGTTTGGGGAGAACTTAACTAATAGCTCAGAGTTGTTAAAATCTTATCTAGCTCTGATTTAAAGGAACCCAGGGTTTTAGCTTCCGCTACACTAGCAGGAAGACTATTGCATACTCTAACTACACGCTGTGTAAAGAAGTGCTTCCTCAAATTTGTTTTAAAATGTTCTCCCGAAAGTGCTATCTTAGATGCCACACTATCTTCTGCCCCCTGCAGTGGCCCGCCTCTCGGAGGAGTGTGAGTACTTTGCCTATGGGCTGAGCTCTGCCGGTTCTGACTGGGTAACTGTGCACTTCATGAGAGCCACGGACCTGACACCCCTCCCCGACACCCTGGAAAGGGTTAAGTTCAGCTGCCTGGCCTGGACCCACGATGCCCGCGGCATCTTCTACAATTGCTACCCCCAACAGGATGGCAAGGCTGATGGTGAGACCGGGGGGTCACTGGAATCTGGGGGGCGGGGGGGGGGGTTCCTGTTTATAGTAAATCAAGGTTTATACAGCTGCCAAATAATCTTTCTAGTCCCAAAGCATTTAACACGTGACGTAGCAGCAGCATTACAGAGAATCAAAGTCACTGACAGCGCTGCACGTGGATCATTAAAATGAAAGGCTGCTTTATTTCAAGATGGCGAAAGTAGGAAAGGTCATGGAAACTCTGAGGTGGAAACCAGCCCACACAGAAAATGTCCTACTAGCTTCCAAAACGCCCTGGGAATTTTGGGAACTGTTTGTGTTTAAGCCCTAAATGATTTAGTGTTTTATAGGAATTCCAAGCAAAAATCTATGGCATATTTATGGGCTGGTGTCCTGCACTGCCCGGGAATGAGCGAGTTTCGGTTCCAGCTCACCATCTCCACCACCACTGTTCTGGTTTCAATATCAGGCACAGAGACCACCTCTAACCTCAACCAGAAGCTCTACTACCATGTGATAGGCACCAGCCAATCAGAAGACACCCTGGTGGCGGAGTTTCCAGACCACCCCAAGTGGCATAGTGGGGTCACGGTAAACTGCGCGCTGCCCACACACAGCCTCCTGCCTGCGGCTTTATCGTCACAGACTCCAACATATCCCCCTCCCCCTGCCGCATACAGGTGTCCGACGACGGCAGGTACGCCGTGCTGTCCATCACCGAGGGCTGTGAGCCCGTCAACCAGCTGTGGTACTGCGACCTACAGCAACTGCCCAATGGAATCACAGGTGAGCCGCACTGCACCCAACCCATAAACACCCAAGAGCTCAGTTTGACAGCAAATTAGAATATGGAGAAAGACACACAGGCAGAGGCATTGGAGGGGCATGAATACCATGACGGATTCAAGGGGCCCAGCACTTGGGACCCCAAAATTTAGGGGGCCCAAGGTCACATTTTCTGAAGGGGCCCGGGATTTCTAACTACACTAGTTGGCACAAATTTCATTGATCCTTTCACCAATGCATGCACACATATTTACCTGATGGGTGTGTTTAAGGCAGATACTGTACACACACAGAGTCCTCTCCACTGCAGGAAAACCAACATACCGCTCCCTCTGTCATCAGGCCTGCTGCCGTGGGTGAAGCTCGTGAATAACTTTGAGGCGCAGTACACCTACATCACCAACGAGGGCAGCGTCTTCACCTTCCGCACCAATCTGCAGGCGCCCCGGTATAGAGTCATCAACATCGACCTGCAGAAACCTGAGCCAGATAACTGGAGAAGCCTCATTCCGCAGCACGATAAGGATGTGCTGGGTGAGTGGCCAGCCACAGGGGCTGGGGCGTAACACAAGGGTTCCAAAAACAGAAGGAGTATTAAAGGAGTACTGCAGTAGTCAAAAGCTGTAAGGTCCCTATCAGCAAACATATACTGTAGCTATATACAAAGCTTTTATTTTAATGAAATTTCCACTGTAATTGAAATAAAACATATTTCAGAGGGAATAATGGAAAAAAGACAACCCAGACCAAGGAAATTAGATGCCAGCAAATCAGCAGTAAAACTTAATTACCTTGAAGATTTAACAGATTGCAAGTAGCAGGTGATATACGATAGATGCTGGATCCCCCCACCAGTAAATTCCTGGTACAGCAATGCTGTTGCACAAACGTGAAGGCATCATGGAGAGATGGGCCGAGATAATGCAGAGTGAAGGGGGCGGGCAAAGAAATCCAGCGCAGTGAGTCATGTCTCCATGACAACAGACACAATGTTTGTTAATCAGCCTTTATCCTTGTATTCCACCTCAAGTACTGTAATCCAAAAATGCATCTTAGTCTGCTTAGTTGGCTAACACTTAAATTTATCATTTCTTCCTATTGCGAGTAATATTAAATGCACTTTTTAGCCGGTACAGCTTGTCATTTTAAGTGTTTATTTGGTGGGATTTTGGGCTGATGCAGTTCAGTGTTTGATCTTTGCTTAACGGTAACAATGCAGTGATCCTACGCCTGTTGCGGCTTTAAAAGGCGACACTGATTCAGCCCTTAACCAAGCAGCTTGGGGCCGCAGAGCCGCGGGAGTAGCTGTGTGGTGTCAGACTCCGGGCCGCTCCGCAGGACAGGGGGGGGTCTGCTGTCCGCTGTCACCTACACGCTTCCCAAAGTGGAAAATGACCAGTCAGCTGTGGTAGGAATATTCAGATCACATGAGCCATCGACCTAATGTCTGTTTAGCTGTAGTCTCTGCTCCATGGGAGCCGTAAAGGGAGGGAAGGTTAAGACGAATCCTTACTCAGGGGCCCAAAAAATATGGATTGGTCTGGGTTGGGGGTTCAATATGACAGGCATTCACGAGGCCCAGATTCTCTAGCAGCGCCCCTGCTCTGTTCACATCTGCTGTCTTCCTGTTTGAGTGTGTATATATTACATTGTGGGGACATGCGATAAAAAACCTGTTATTTACATGATGTGGGAAAAAAAATTTCAGTTCCCAAAAGTGGAAATTTTTAATTTCATAAAAATGTGTGACTGCAATCAAAACACTAAAAATGCCAAAAGTCTTGTTTTTGGTTGGGTTACTTATGGTTAAGCTTAGGGCTGGGTTAGGGGTTAGGGTGTCATAGTTGGGATTCAAGTTATGCCCATAGAAATGAACGAAGAGTCCCCACAGAGATATAGACACCTAATTTGTGTGTGTTTGTGTGTAGGTTTCGTGTCGTGTATCAATCAGAACTTCCTGCTGGTGAACTACATGCATGACGTGAAGGACGTCCTGCAGCTCGTTGAGCTGTCATCAGGGGATCTGCTGAAGAACCTGCCTCTGGACGTGGGCACCGTGGTAGGCCTCAGCTGCAAGAAGAAACACGCCGACTTCTTCTACAAGTTTACATCCTTCACCACCCCAGGTACTCCTCTCCCCCCAACATCCAGGAACTGTACCCCATCCATCTGCTATTCATATCTGCTGTTGAGACACTATCCATCACTATCCCCCCCTCCCCCGATACTGCAGCCACACATCTTCCTTTCACTTACTGTGCAAATGTATGTAGCCCATCAGGAAGTCGGACGCAGTGCACCCTCAGGAACTCCACTCCATCCATCTCCTACACCTTCACATCTCTCAGCACCTGAGCGGTGACCCCTCAGAGGGAGGCAGGACATAGGGCCCTCATGGGTGCTACCTGGGTCTGGTCCTGACAGTTCTGAGGGTTCTAGGTTTGGGTTGGACACTAGGGCAGTTCCACCAAAACAGTGGTCATGATAGAAAGGCAGATATGCAGGATGAATGAAGGTTGGGCATTGATGTGCTTATCTGCCACGCTTGTCGCTGTAGGGATTATCTATCACTGCGACCTAAGCCTGCCATCTCCGGAGCCCACAATCTTCAGACAGGTGGAGGTGAAGGGCATCGACAGGACCGACTATGAGACCATCCAGGTAAGACGCATTCACCTGCGAACGGAGTGAGGGTCACGCAGTACACATACTGTATGCTGGAGCGTATCTGCCTACCTGCCTTCCAGGTGTTCTACCCCAGCAAGGATGGCACCAAGATCCCCATGTTCCTGGTGCATGCTCGTGGCATCCAGAAGGACGGCTCGCACCCCGTGTTCCTCTACGGATACGGCGGCTTTGAAAACTGTATTCAGCCCTACTACAAGTCAGCACCTCCAAGCGTTTGTTTTGTCTGTTAGTGAGCAGTACTGTAGCACATGAAGATCCTTTCCAGGGTCTCTATGTATATATTTGCTAATATCTGTATTGTGTAAGTGTACCTCTATATCCTGATCCCCCCCAGTGTGGCCTACTTGCTGTTCGTGAGACATGTGGGGGGCATCCTGGCTGTGGCCAACATTCGGGGAGGAGGAGAATATGGACAAACCTGGCACAAAGGTACCCTGAGGGCAAAGGAGATCTTAGCAGGCTGGGCAGCACAGAAGCCAGAGCTGACAGCCCAACACCTCATTTTCTTTGTAGGGGTCCTCCCTGATGACCTCTGATTGGTCCCTGTGCATGACTCTGTATTCCTTGATGACATCTGATTGGTCCCCGTGCATCAAAATGTCCCCTTTGATGACATCTGATTGGTCCCTGTACATCACCATGTCCCCCTTGATGACCTCTGATTGGTCCCTGTACATCACAGTGTCCCCCTTGATGACCTCTGATTGGTCCCTATACATCACCGTGTGCTCCTTGATGACCTCTGATTGGTCCCTGTGCATCACCATGTCCCCCTTCTTCCCACACAGCTGGTTCCCTTGGGAAAAAACAAAACTGCTTTGACGATTTCCAGTGTGCGGCGGAGTACCTGATCCGTGAGGGTTACACATCTGCCAGTCGAATTGCCATCAACGGGGCCTCAAACGGGGGTCTGCTCGTGGGTAAGGCTCAGGCTGAGGGACATCAGCTGAGGGACATCAGCGGCTGCCTGTACGCGGTATAGGGGCTTCTACAGAGAAGGGCTCTGCCATTACTTCCGCTTTGTCATTGTCTCCAATGCTGAATTCATCACTTTGGGCCTGTAACAGTTACACGCCCCAGTTTCGGGTAAATTTACATTTTATTCTCATGTTTTTGAGCAATCTCCATACAGACAGGAAATTAAGCGCTAACTGAATGATTTAACCAGAAGGATGGCTGTAAATAAGGGCCTATTACAGACACGGCCGCTTCCCTAAATCATGCTGGTGTGAGAACCGGTGTCTTTGCTGAGTTCTTATCTTACACGGCTGAATCTTTCACACGCTCACGATGAACACGGAGTAGAACAGCGACGAGGTCACTCAGCACGTTAGCTCAGGTAGCCAATATCCTGTTCAACCAATTTCCATTCATTCTTATTTTCATCACATTCTCACCCAGGTAGTGTTTTAACTCTGCAAAATGCCAGATCCACTTGTGCAAATGTGCTAACCCCCCCTCCCATGACTGTGACCAGGGGCCTGTGTGAACCAGAGGCCAGAGCTCTTCGGTTGTGCTGTGGCTGAGGTGGGCGTCATGGACATGCTCAAGTTTCACAAGTTCACTATTGGCCATGCCTGGACAACCGACTACGGCTGTGCGGACGATCCTGAACAATTCCAGTGGCTGATAGAGTGAGTCTGACGATGCACAACCACACACACACAAAATAAAATAACAGGGTTTATAAACATAATACACACACACATTTGTATTTATATCACTATGGGGAATCTCCATTCATTTCTATGGGAAAAACCCTAATCCGGACCCAAGGTCAGAATGCTTTCCTCATAATTATTAGACTTATGCTCTTGCAGACACCCTGTCTCACTCATACTCCCCATCCCTCTGCCTCCATCACGCTCCCCATCCCTCTGCCTCCATCACGCTCCCCATCCCTC